TATGTACTGTAAAGCGCTTTAGAGTGGCTTATGTTAGTTAGATAGCGCGCTATATCAAATGCTGTATATTATATTTATATGAGTGTCACCCTTGTGAAATACTAGCCGCTCCGTACTAACTCGACTAGGGAGAATTTACTTTAGCTCATTCGGTAGAGCATAAGACTTGTAAGCCAGAGGTCATGGATTCGACTCCTAGTGGAGGCAATGAAAACATAATGACCTCTGTTACATGAAAAACTAAATGTGATTATTATGTAACAACACTTACCAAATTGAGACACTTTTAAGATACATATCATTGTTCTTAATACAATACTAACAATTCTAAAAAAATATATTCATTTGTCATAAATAGATACTATCCACTTTTCATTTCGATTACAAATTGGTATTTCTGGCGCGTGGTTCTATAAACAGAACTCGAAATACCATCTGGGTCACGTAGGCCCTTGTACCGGCTTTACTGTACCCTGAAAGGGACCACTTCGGTATATGGCAGGTTATGATTACATTGCTGAAGACTTTGCATTTGTACTTACGAACCTCTATTCCAACTGTTCAGGCCAGGCCCCCCAACACGTGCGACTTGTAGGAGGTAAACATCAGGGACGACTGGAGGTGTATCATGATGGAGTATGGGGAACAGTGTGTGATGACGGGGCTACCAATACAATCGCCAAGGTTGTGTGTCGTCAACTCGATATCACCAGGTACAGAGATTAAATATGTCGATTATCATGCCATTGCAAGTAGGCTAACCTATCCTACTGTTGTTGCTTTTATTGAACTGGGTCTTAATGTAATCAAACCTAATGCCAATAACAGAGGCTTTTACAGATATACCAATCTTGATTAAAATTCATCAAAATATACTTTAAAAATTCCACGAATTTTTCTTTTTGTATTTCTAATTGTAATTTGTTACATGGAAACTTACTATAATAAATAACTTAAAAGCATTGTGAAATTTACGTAATTGTCCTCATTATGAAAAGCCTATTGATCCATGTCAAGATAATAAAAACCTTATTATTTGTTTAATGCTTTAACTTAACAATATTTCTTAATTATGATAGTGCTTACGGCATTGTGGAGGGAAGTGCACATTTTGGAGCTGGAACAGGGCGTATCTGGATGGACGACGTTTTATGTAATGGCAATGAACTTTCTTTGGACGCATGCACGTCTAACGGCTGGGGAAATCACAATTGTGGACATGGAGAAGATTTATCAGTCGTTTGCGGCCGTAAGTACATTTTCCACTTAACAGTGATACTATCGAGCTGAAATTACAACGTTAGACATAACAATCTGTGCCTCATTTTCTGTCTGCCTTATCCAGGACTGTGTGCATGAAATATCAACATATGCATACGAGAGAAGATGTTAATTCTAATCTGCTCAAATTAATAAGATTACATCTGTGTCAGTGTTTTCAACGTTGAATTACACATATGTTATTACGATTGTTAGGTTCCTTCACTAGAATCGATACCGATTTAAAGTATGTATACAATATATTTACTGTTGTGAAAATCTTTTTTTCGTTTAATATATAAAAACAAAACAAAAAGTTCAATATATAATTATATTATGTAATTCACTACATTGTGACATTTCTAAAATTGCGGACGCTTGATTAAAGACATAAGTAAAAATTGTATTTAACTATAAGCGAATTAGGTAAAAAATATCGTTAAAATACTACCATTTTCTGTATAAGGATTATTTGATTTGTTCTTAATGGACAATTGAACGCGTCTTCGTATTTATTTTTCAATCGATGTTCAATCAGAAAAACAATTCAAGTTTTGTAAAAAGAGAACATCTTTCCTCAATTCCAGAATACGTGACGAGAGTAAAACCGAACAGTGGTAGCTTATCGGGTGGTACTAGAGTAACTATAGAAGGAGCAGGATTTTCGAAAGACCCATTCAACCATTTTCCGGGTACAGAACATCACGGTAACAAGGTGTATTTCATAAGCAAACACCACACTTTTCCGTGTGAAGTTCTCGTTGACATGACAACTACATCACGCATAGTCTGTGTTTCGGTGTAAGTAACTTTCAATATTTCAGAAGTGTGTTAATCTATTTTGAGAAGCATTACTGTTGTAAGATTAAAAATATGGACTGCTTAACAAAACACATGTGTTTAGCATAAAAGGGAAAAAGCAAATTAAATGTCTATCTACGTTTGTTAAAAACAAGTTAACATGTAATTGTTTTTTTCGGGGGAGGTTATACTATTTATAGTATGTTACATATGACACTGATTACAATATATGATAGGCAGTTTAAAATATCCATTAAGTCGTTTTTTATAAAGTTACATCATAAGATAAAAATTGAATGTCCTCTGTTTCATTCTCGTTTTTATCTGAGGAATGTTGTTTTGATTTCTATATAGTGCTGATATGCCAAACATACAGCATCGAGTACAGGTCAAAGTAGATGGAATCGACATAGAGAATAAATGCAGCTCCTCGAGCTACTGTTCCTATGAGGTAAATTCATTCAGAACAAAATACAACCATTATATGCGCTCTAAACAAAATAAATGAAACGTTTGAATTATTGATAAAATGCCCGAGCAAAACGTTTCGTAAAATCTAATAGCTTCTGAAAATCTAATAAACTATTGTAAGCGCTGAGTGCACAGTTGCTTTCCTGGAATTAATACACATTACATTTTTTTAAGCCGTCATCTTCTTCTACACCAACAATTGATACGATCACGCCATGGTATGGGCCACCAGGTAAGTCAAAGTTAAACTAAAAATCCCTACCTAACATTTGTTCCGGTTAAATACAGTGCCTCTGAGTATTTTAAATGAATAATTGCCGACATATTTTACATTGAATGCATTTTATAGATATTTAACTTTAGACAGACGTATAGTTTCAGTAGATTTTAATACATCATGGCGTATTCGAATGAAGTCAAAAGTCTGGGGATGTTCCCGTCCCACTTTACCGGTTTAGGCTTTAAACTTTCGGTTGTCAAAAGCAGACGCCTGTAGCGCTCTTATATGCCACCAA